GCAGTGCACAGGGGTGAACCACGGATCACACTCTCACAATAAGGGGGAGAGAGAGGGAGAGAGAGAGAGAGAGTAAGGAGACAGAAAGAGAAAAAGACGGAGAGAGAAAGCGAGAGGGAGGGAAGCCGCTGGGGAGCTAAGAGGAGGAGGAAGCAGTAGACGGTGCAGTCGCATTCTTTTTCCCGCCTGATGCGATAGAGAAATGAAAAGAGAGAGAGAGAAAGTGAGTGAGCGATAGATCTTCAAGCCGATCTATTGCCTCTCCTTCTGTGATGAAGAAGCCTCAGACACTCCCCTTCTGCCCCTCGCCCCTCGTTACAGACATGGGTGTGACAAGCAACAGTTGGACTTTGAACTCTAAATCAAATTTATGATCACTGTAATTAACTGAGGTTGCCTAAACACGGCAAAACAAAACAGTTTTAAATGAGGTCAGAAAAAAAAAAGTTTCGATCATACCAGAGTCACATATTGACATCAGTTTTAAATGAGGTCAGAAAAAAAAATGTTTCGATCATACTGACTGGCCCCAGAGTCACATATTGACAACTAAAGGCATATCAATTTTGTGTAAAAACTTTAGGAGCCTTGCTAATCCTTGGTAAAGAACGCAGTTTATCAGGATTATAAATCTGATAGAATGTTGGCTGAGGTATGGAAAAAAATATATCAAAACCCATCGGACACAAAAAATGTATAAAACAAAAAACACTGGGGAATATAACTAAACCAGTCACTTTTACAAAAAAAAAAAATAAACCCACAACTTCAACTAAACCAGTCACTTTTACAAAAAAACAAAATTAACCCACAACATTGAATGTTCTCTGAGAACTTTCAGATCATTCTTAATGCGATTTATCACCTCACCCTCATCTACAATAAAATATTTTGCACTATCCCCGCAAAAATTTTACATTTTTACAGAGTTTATTCCAATCCAATTGGCAGGAATTTAAAACGATGTGTTGTGAAAGTCAAAACTCAATTAGAAGTTTTAAATGTGAAAGATATAGTAAATAAATGTGTTCCTGAGGTTCAACTCGCCACTAAGACTGTTCGTAGCCAACCCGACAAAAACGTGTGTATGTTTAATTTGTTTAACCAGGTAATATTAGGGCTTCGGTTTCATGTCCCCATGATTCATCTTCCTATAATCAATGTATTGTGATAAGACCTTTATTAAAGACCATTCATCATCTATTGTACCAAACTGTGACTATATGCAGTCTCACCTGCGTTACTCAGTCCCATCTGGAGAAACAAAAACACCTGATGACTAAGGGAATCCAAAACAGAGCAGGTAAAAAAAGCACAGCTGAGACTGAGGACAGATTAACAGGAAGAAGGGCTAAAAATGGACACAGACAATGCTTTTTTTGTCGCTGTCAGGTTACTCACGGTAGCTCACAGTTGGCCATCCTTGAACCTCCTGATCAGTATGTGAATCCTGTAGGTGAAGGGTCACCTCTGTGCAGCTAAACGGGGATGTGTTGTGTCCCCAGAGAGGTGGACTACTCCTGTGCCCTACTAAGCAGAGCCGCGCTGCGACCCTCCTGCAAGGACAATGCTGCTACAACCAGGGAGAAACTTGCAACACTGCCACAAAGCTGGCAAAGTGACAACTCCAGGTCAAAGTCCAGACATGTAATCTGATATAACAGAAGACTTGGCACAGGAAGGGAGAGATTTGAAATGCAGTGTAGCCACTGGACTGTTGTCAATATTTTCAGATATTAACCCTGAAACTCTGATGATTGAATGTTGCTAATTGTTGGAGTAATTGTAAAAATGTATTTAAAATGAAAATGATTTACCTAAAAAGGAAAGAGGTTTCTCCAGGGAATTAACTTAGTGTACTAAATTAGTACTTGGAGCGACACGGTATAGATGTGTACTATAATAATGATAGAGTCATTACTCTAATTACTAATCGAGTTATCAACAACCAATAACACTTACCCTAACATTACCAGCTGTCTTTTTCCTGCATCTAATCATTTATATGATGCACCTTCAACTCTTACTAACATCTTGCATCACGTTCTCTTTAGAAGTGTAAATTCCTCAGACTATTGAGATCACATTTCACAAGCCTCTGGCTTTCACATTTACAAGAAACTGTTTCCAATGAGCTGTAAAAAAAAACCACCCTCAAAGTCAAGGTAATGTTGGGTCTCTGCTTTTATTACAAAACATGGGTGTCCACCATGGGTAGGATTAACCTCTCTTCATCCAACAGCAATACACTAGTATACCAGATAGATGACTAAAGATATTGTTCACAGTTTATCATTCCATGCTAATGAGCTTTTAGTACCTAAGCATATGTTTTGAAAATCCCTTCACCATAAGCTGGAATGTGTGGCAAGAAAATATTGACTAAAGATATTGTTCACAGTTTATCGTACCATGCTATGTGCGGCAAGAAAATAACAGTATTGCTGCTGTTCTGTAGCTTCCTGGATTCTATAAGTTATTTGAATGTATTTGAAATCACAGAGTAAGAAGTAATGGAGTTATTTACTCTGCATATGAAGAAGCAGGTAGTCTCACAACCATACAATGACGGTGTTCTTGCACATCCGACACTCTGAGCAAATTCTTTTCTTATAGATTGCATGGGTGTGATTAGAACCGGGGTTCAGATTATCAGGATGTAAGAGCCTAAACCCCTCCATCACCATCAGGACAAAAAGACACACAGGACCTTTAAGGAGACGTCTACTGCCGTGGTCATGCTGTTGAGATGTAAGATCTAAACCCATATGTCTGGAAACATATGGGTTTGTCTATCATTTGTTGTCAGCAAACACCCAAAGCACTTTTTATTTTATGTGTCTGGTTTATGTTTATGCCCTGGCAACATTTTCACTCAATCGTTTATGGGGTTGTACATGTGTTGCTTGCTAACAGCAGAATTAAATAGTATGACTTCTTACTGTTTCTGATGGGGCAAAAAGGATTCTGAGTTGAGGCTGCTCTAACAGCCCCCTCTGGTGGATCATGAGGTAACTACTCATTTAACCCACCCAATTTAGTTTTTCTTCTGATTTTATCCAAGTCTTGTTTTAATTTCTGCTAAATGTTAAAAGCTTACGGGTTGAAATTTGAAAAGGATTTTAATCCATTGCTCGTGTCTGTCACTCATACTTTCTCTACACCTTCTTTAGCTCCTTCATTTCCTTCACCTTGCCAGTGAATTCAGTCAATCCTCCCTGTTGTTCTGTATTAGTTTCTCAGGAGTACTGATTATCATTACACACTGAGACTTTTGAAGAGCCACTCTAATAAGAAGAAGAACCTAAAGTCTGCATGTAAAGTTAACTGTGAAGGAGGTGAGAAGAGAGTTGTCCAGAATAATGCATCCATACAGAGAGAGCACATGTTTTGAGAATGATATGCACAGATGTTATTACTAAAATCATTGGGGGCTTTGCGGTTGTTTAACTCATGCACTTCAAAGCATGATCATCCGTCTGTGGTACAGCTTTAATAGCCTGGATGACGTAAAAGCTCCTGTGATAGTGTGTAAGACAGAGAAGCTGAAGATTGAAGAATCTGGATCAAAAAGTCCCTGCAGATATTGAAACAGAGACACACACTCACACACACG